GTGGGAGTTCGTGAGGAGATATTGGGGTAAGAAATACGTTGGATGTCTTGGAGATGTATAATTAAGAGAGTCTTGAGGAGAAGCCCAGGAGCCTGCCATCGAGTCTAAGCCTACCGAGAGTGACTGAGGGTAAATGCTGTGGCCTACGGCTCACGTGTTTGGATCTCGTGATGTCACAGCTAGCAAGGGAGCCTGTCTATAAAGTAGTTGGGATCTAAGTATACTACACAAATACACAGTAACACTACTGACAGCTCTGCGATGCTAACATATGGTGTCCCAACATACAACTAAATTATACACAGAATAGACCATAGGCATTATGGCTCTTGGCTAATTCTATACAATTTCAATGTATGCAACAGTTGAACATATACATGAGGATGATAAATGAGTGTAATTCATTACAAAATATATGTCACAAATCATTGTAAATGATAGTATCATTGGCCGTTCAGATTAACATAAGAGATCAAAGAGAAGAACAATCTGTATTCATATGATCTATGGATTCTGAGGAAATATATTTACAAAGAAGAAAGTGTTTAACTGAATAGGAAGACTTGGTGCACACAAGTCTTTTACTGTTAATTCTCAGAATTCAGAGAGAACGTGAACGAAAAAAAAATTAGTCGATATAGTAGAAACATAGTTGAAATACTCTCTAGATTAGATTATCTGTCTATAGAGATAATTTACATTTAACCCCAACTCTACTAGGGTGAGATTTACATAAGCAGAGTGGTCATCATCTCTGGGCAGGTCACACACCGTTGCACGGCTGACACATGCCATGGTTGAGGATGATTTAAATTGATATATACAAATGAAATTTGGAAATTCCTCATTACTTGTCATGTATGTAAGGATTAATGGCAATTAGGTCGTTCATCTGTCTGGCTGTTAGAGGTAGAGGGTAATGAGTCAGGAGGATTGAGAGAGTCTTTTGCATTTATCTGGATGTCAGGAACCTCGTCATCATCTCATACTAACTTCATATGATCTAAATGCGATTCTTTACACTTACCAGTAATGATTTCTCTAACTTTATACTTATTGCCACTGACATGTTCGACTACTCGATATGGATCAACAAACTTTTGAACGAGCTTAGGCACTGCGGATGTTTTATTAAAATTAATCAGCATAACTCTCCAGCCTACTTTAATTTTGGTTGGGTTTATTCAAGTATTAGTGACTTGTAAATTCTGCTGTTGATTTATGAAGTATTGCTCAGATTCTTCCAAAGCACCTTGAGCTAAACAGGTACGAGTCTCTATGAAATAATCAGGATTGTAATTTTGTTTCAGATTAGAATATAACCACTCGTATGGTAAGCGCTTATCTACACAATACAACACATAATGTGGAGTGTCACCTATAGAAGCATTGGCAGAATTTATGGCACACTGAACATCAGGTATAATTTCATCTCGGGTTGCACTATTGGTATTAATAGTGATTGTTAAAACATCGAGTACTTTATTTTTTGAAGGAATGGACAGGCTCGGTGGAGTGGATGGACTCTTCTCAGTTGAAATAGTGAATGCTATAACCAGAAATATTTTCAAGGGAGAAATGGATCTTATTATCTCTTACACCATGTAATGATTGCTCGACATACAACTCTTTTTCCATGCAAAGATCACTGCCAGCTAAGACATTATCACCATTTGGAATTGTCAATTGGTTATAAATGACCATTATTTTTAAAGGGGTGGACCGGTAAGCCAGCGGAAGGCCTCGGTCAGATGACCAAAGCTCCAAAGGCGGGTCATCATCTGACTCAGACCCGCGTCAGGACACACTTGTCCTGTTTGCTGACAAACCTTACCTAACCTTACCATTTAGAATATGGGGGACAACAGCAGACACTCCAGTGAGTGCACTATCTGCGACAGAAACGTCTTGCTGCAGACTGCTTGTGATATTAACAAGAGATGGCATTACTAGTTTCAAGTAGTCGTTTTCCGACAAGGCGTCCCCTGTGGAGGAACTACCACTTGGACTAGCAGTCATCGCAGGTTCAGAATGATTTTGGCGAAATTATTGCATACACAAATTTTCACTTGTCCTATATGGCAAGATGAGCGTTGCTATTTAAGCCAAGATCGCAAGTTCTGCCTATTCGGCACGACATATATATATATATATATATATATATATATATATATATATATATATATATATATATATATATATATATATATATATATATATATAATGTGTGTGTAAGTCGTGTCGAAGTGATAAAACTTGCGATTTTTGCTAAAATAGCAACGCTCCTCTTGCCGATTAAGGCAAGCGGTACAAGAATGGGGTCCCCCATCAGCGTTATCTTAGCTAACTTATATATGAAGCACCCATCATCCACCAGCGTCACTTGGTTGCGGTGTGTGGACGACGTCCTCATAAATAACTCCCAAACGTTTTGAGGTGCTTAATCTTCAGGGAAATGGCTCAACGTAGTTGAACCGGCGATCCAGTTTACACTTGAAGAGTCCAGTGATAAGTTACGTTTTCTCGACGTCCTCATTCACAAAGTAGACAAGACCCTAAAGTTTAAAGTTTACTGGAAGCCTACAAACAAAAATGATCTCACGTACTTCTATTCCAGTCAAGACAAAAAGAGGCATCATCATTGGATTTTTCCTAATAGCGTACCAAATTTCCCTTCCTTTTTCATCAACGGCTGCAAGAAAAGAGCCCTTTAAATCATCAATTCTCCATGCACTAACACCACTCGTAACAAAGTTATAATTCCCGACAGCCAGGTTGCAATTAATGTCTCTAAAGTGCTCGCACAAGCTAACACTAGAGTCGCCATCGCAACTAGTACTTCCATAAAAGATCTGACTAGGACGAAATTGAAAAACATTGATCCAGTCGATGCAGTGGTCCGTACTATCCCTTGTGGAGGTTGTGACAGAGTATACGTAGGTGAAACAGCAAGAAACCTGAAACATGTCTCAATGAACACACAAATACATGTAGGAATGACAAACCATACCAAGGGTGGGGATAGAACCCTCGATTACGATTTCGTAAGTTAGGAATGACAACTTGAACAATACCTGCATATAACACGGGATTTCCCCAACCACCTGATGAAATTTAATTACGCCTTATTAGTGATCAAAGAACGTTGACTCAAGTGTCTCGAGTCGTCATTAATCGCTATTTCTAACAAAATTAAATAGAATAAAGGCAGCTTCATTTCTGAAGTATTGGCAAGAATTCTCAATAAAACAATATACCTTGTTATCACATAACTGCTACAACTACTACTACCGCAAGTACTACTACTACTACTACTACTACCACCACCACCACCACCACCACCACCACCACCACCACAAGGACTACGACTAATACTACCTATATATACCTCCGTGTGTCCCTGTATTCTCTGTAACGGCTTGATAAAGCTCCTGGAGAGCGAAACGTTGCCACAATAAAATGTCACATTAGCTGCACTTGTGTCATTTTAATTAACATATTGTCGGTAATTCTTCAAACAAAATTACATATAATTTTCAGTCTGATTAAAAGGGAATATAAAATACTCTTATGATTGAAAATGTATGTAAACAAATATTATTTCTAAGGTCAGAAATTATGTTAACAATTTAGAGTGATTATATAAGATAAACCATCTGCTTAATAATTTTAATCTTTTATTTGATAGCTGATTGAAAACATTCTTTATTTTTTATGAAATATGAGAGAAAACATTTTGAACTCGTCAAAATTTAACTATGTTCTTACCATTATAAACATATACATAAAGTTCATATATAAACTTGTATCGGAGTATAAAACAAATTCTAACCACATAATAGAGCGAAAAACTAATGTGAAGGACCTGGGAGTGATAATGTCAGAGTATCTCACTTTCAAAGATCACAACATTGTCTTTACCATATCTGCTAGGAAAATGATAGGGTAGATAATTAGAACCTTGAAAATTAGGGATGCCAAGCCAATGATGATTCTCTTCAAATTGCTTGCATTCTCTTGGCTGGAAAATTGATGTACAATAACAGCCACTTTCAAGGCAGGCAAAACTGCAGACCTGGAGAATGTACAGAGAACTTTCACGACACGCATAAGTGCGATAAGGCTCGTAAATTCGCACACGAAAATCACTCTATACAAAAGCAAAAGACTCGGCAGGAGATGCAACTTCTCCCCAATGAAAAGCAGGGGTAGCACGAGTACGCTAAGAGAAAACACAACAAGTGTAATGGGCTCAAGACTGTTCAACTGCTTCGCAGCATACTTAGTGGGGATTACCAATATACCCCTGGCTGTCTTCAAAAACGCGCCTAGTAGGTACCTAATATCAGTACCTGACCAGCCGGGCCATAGTTCGTACGTCGGTTTGCATATGGCCAGTAGTAACAGCCTGGTTGATCAGGCCTGGTCACAGACCGCCAGTGGGAGGGTTGACCCCCGAAATCCTCTCCAGGTAAACACTGAACATCTAATAGTTAATGGGCTAAAACTGAGACAGTATATTCCAGTTTTCTCTCTTAAAATACATAACAAAGTTCGTATGAGACAACATAATTAGTTATATTAAATAGATCATAATACTGTAACATTTCTTAAGAACATGAAAAAGCAAACTATTTTTATTTGTTAATATGCTGATATTTTGTAATTATATTTCATGTTAAAAACTGCTTCCATAAATCCCTGTATTATAAACAGTGATAAGTTAGTAATAAGCATAATAGTAGGAGGATTAAAAGCAATAATAGCAAAAAATAGATGTATGAACAGTAGTTTTAGCAGTAATAGTAGCAACAGTAGTAGTAGTAGTACCAGTAATAGCATTCGTCAGTTACATTGTGTGGTGGTGGATTTATGTTGCGTAATCATGTCGGTGAGGTGGATCCTATTGGTGTTGTATCGTTGTTTCTGTGATTCTGTTGTGGTGGTGATCCTGTTGGTTTCTGTGATCCTGTTGGGGTGATGATCTCTTGTGTTTCTGTGATTCTGTTGTGGGGTGATCCTGTTGGTTTCTGTGATTCTGTTGGTGGTGGTGATCCTGTTGGTTTCTGTGATTCTGTTGGTGGTGGTGATCCAGTTGGTTTCGGTGATCCTGTTGGTGGCGGCGATCTTGTTGGTGGTGGTGATCCCGTTGGTTTGGGTGATGCTGTTGGTGGTGTTGATCCTGTTAGTTTTGGCGTTCCTAGTGGTTGTGGTGGTAGTGATCCTGGTGGAGGTGGTGACTCTGACGGTGGTGATGATCATGATAGTGGTAATGTTGAATTAGTGCTTGGTATAACAGATGTGTTGGCTGGTGAGGTTGTTGTGGCAGTGGACAAAGTGGTGACATTCTTCCCTGTAAAAAAATATAATTAAATTCAGTCGTTTATAGACATCATTCACAGTAAAATGTCGACTTGAGGAACTTCAGTTTAGTGTCGATAAATGTGAGAGAGAGAGAGTTTTTAGAACGAATTTATATTGGGGCCATTTACAGAGTGAAGCTTTGTCTTGTAAGCCTAATCTGTAACGTGTGCCTTAAAAGCTTAATTAACAAAAACAACACGATAATTATATTAAAATAAGACGCTCAGATAAAGTGCCATAGGCTGAGGTAGGCCTACTCACCATGCAAAGCAGACACGGAACAGCAGACTCGCGCTTTAATGAGGCGATTCTGCTTGTAGAAGATGACAGATGCGAAATAAGACTTTGTAATGAGGTGTCTAGGTCCTCGGGGGCTGAAACTGTAATGGCAGAAGGAAAAAACTGGTCATCTATTAATCGTTCCAGGAATCATCGGTTTGTGTCCGGATTTGAAACCAGACCTAAACTGGAAAGGTAATTTCACAAAAATATGAACTATTTAGAAACACGCTAGAAAAAAAGGTAACTGTTCACTGAACGCAAACATGAAGTTCCGAAAATAAAGGAAAAAACCCATGCAATCGTGACAGAATTTAATAGGTTATAATTGAATATGTACTGAGAAGAGGGTACTAGCTAGGTGGGTATAAGAAAGCTATGGATCTTAACTTTTTTATACCCATCTGAATAGGTCCATGAAAATCAGGCAACAGATTTTCAAAGGTATTTTGAGTAATCTCATATTAAAAATGTAAATGAAACATTAAAAATGCTACAGTTGCCCGAATTATTATATTGAAATGAAATATTATTAATGTATGACAATTTTAGAATTCAAAAATTTAAAGCAAACCATCACAAATCATCAATTCCACTCTCAGTAAGTTCTTACTTCAGCCTTGGCTGAGTGTTCCACAGCTCTGTCTACATATATTGAGATGCACAGAGCTCTCAGTATATATACATTGAGATACACACAGCTTTCAGTCTCCATACAGTGAGATACACACAACTCTCAGTTTACATGCATTGAGATACACACATCTCTCAGTCTACATACAGTGAGATAGACACAGCTCTCAGTCTATATGGGTCAGGTAAGTGGTGATGATTTCCGATATGACGTTTTCCAGGGCATAGTTCTAGCTGCTGAGACAACTTATGTTCCAAATAGGGAAATCAGATCAAGCAAAACTGATCCTAAATGGATGAACAATAGATTAAAACATCTCATTGGTCCAAAGAGAGGCATATATAGGCAAATCAAAAGAGGAGAGGTGCAATTAAGGAATCAATATATTCAATTAAAGAGAGAAATAAAAAAAGGGAATAAGAAAAGCAAAAAGAGATTATGTGGTTAAAGTTGCAAGAGAATGGAAGACTAACCCAAAAGGATTCTTTCAGGTATACAGAAGTAAGACCAGGGACAAGATAGGCCCACTCAAAAGTTACTCGGGTCAGCTCACGGACAGTAATAAGGAAATGTGTAGAATTTTTAACACATACTTCCTCTCAGTTTTTACTTAGGAAGATACTAGCGATATTCCAAAAATAATAAATTATGTAGAACAGGATGATGATAAACTATGCACGATTAGGGTCACAACTGACATGGTCCTTAGCCAAATTGATAAATTAAAACGTAACAAATCCCCAGGCCTTGATGAACTGTATGCGAGGGTTCTAAAGGAATGTAAAGAGGAGCTTAGCAAACCTCTGGCATGGTGCCAGATAAGTGGAAAATGACAAATGTGATACCTATTTTCAAAGCAGGTGACAGGTCCTTAGCTTAGAACTGTAGACCAATAAGCCTATCCTCCATAGTGGGAAAATTTATGGAATCAATAATTGCCGAGGCAGTTCATAGCCACCTTGAAAAGCACAAATTAATCAACGAATCTCAGCATGGTTTTACAAAGGGGCGTTCCTGCCTAACGAATTTATTAACTTTTTTCACTACGGTATTTGAGGAGGTAGATCATAGTAATGAATATGATATTGTGTATATGAACTTCAGTAGGTTGCTTTGGGAGGGCAGGTCCCTCTCAAACCCAGCCGTTCTCACTAGTAGAGGTTGTCGAAGTTGATGGTCTGTACCAAGATACCCTTGTGTTGCAGTGTCTGACAGAATGAACATTAAAATGGTATAAAATACCGACTGAAGAAGCCTACTGTGTAGGCGAAACGTTTCGAAATAAAGATACCTAACTGTTGCATATGTGTCTTACCTAACAATCTGTCGGTATTTTATACCATTTTAATGTTCATTCTGTCAGACACTGCAACACAAGGGTATCTTGGTACAGACCATCAACTTCGACAACCTCTACTAGTGAGAACGGCTGGGTTTGAGAGGGACCTGCCCTCCCAAAGCAACCTACGTCTCACCTCCTGGCACTATATAAGGCTCCATCCTGTCACTTCAACTTCATATTGTTTCTGACAACGGAACAATGCTCTTCTCCAGACTGAGGGACTGACCACCTCAAAACTTTAAGGGTGATGGACTGATTACATCGTCTTCAAGTATCTTCTGCTTCTATCAACTTTTCTGTACTCGACTGAAGAAGCCTACTGTGTAGGCGAAACGTTTCGAAATAAAGATACCTAACTGTTGCATATGTGTCTTACCTAACACATTGTGCTACTAGGTCAGTTGCCGTGTTCCTTCCTTAAGTGAATGTGACCTGTAATAAAGTTGGTAGAATTACCTACAATATGTAAAGTAAAAGGACACAAGTGCAACTAATGTGACATTTATTGTGGCAACGTTTCGCTCTCCAGGAGCTTTATCAAGCCATTACAAACAATACATGGACACAGAGGGTATATAAAGGCTCTGAGTGAGGTGCAATACTAGTGAGGTACCATTTCGATGTTCACTAGTGGTAGTAGTAGTAGTAGTAACAAAATAATACAATATGGAAGAGCAAATAATTCGTACATGAGTAAAAGGATATAAAAGCTATTACTTGGGTAACATAAATTTGCTCTTCCATATTGTATTATTTTGTTACTACTACTACTACTACTACCACTAGTGAACATCGAAATGGTACCTCACTAGTATTGCACCTCATTCTGAGCCTTTATATACCCTCTGTGTCCATGTATTGTTTGTAATGGCTTGATAAAGCTCCTGGAGAGCGAAACATTGCCACAATAAATGTCACAGTTGCACTTGTGTCCTTTTACTTTACATGAATGTGACCTGACCTGACTAGGTTGGGGCATTGGCTTAACCCGGTAGGAGACTTGCACCTGCCTCTTATAGGCCAGTAGGCCTGTTGCAGTGTTCCTTCTTTCTAATGTTCTTATTGAGATACACACAGCTCTCAGCCAACATACATTGAGATACAGCTCGAGCGATACATAGCTTCAGGTGTGTATCTCTCAGTGTAAATTTCAATGTTTGTATCTCAGTGTGTATACTGTGTATACATTGTTAAGTATATACACTGTAATGACACCTCATGGAGCATATAGAAACTGCAAAGAAATTTAAAAAAAAAAGGTTTCACCTAGGAAGTGACTCGTTATATAGGCTTACGTGCAAACATAGCCTAGGCCTAACTACCTACAGGCTTACGCCACTTGTTATATTCAATGTGGGAAACTTATATCTCTGTATATATATATATATATATATATATATATATATATATATATAATATATATATATATATATATATATATATATATATTTCACCGATAAGATCACAGTAAACAGGTGATATCAGAACATGCAAAACAACGACTGAAAAGATAGTGAAATTCCAAGCACTTTCGTGACTTCTCACATTATCAAGGAACTACATAATACAGTGAGAAGTCACGAAAGCGCTTGGAATTTCACTGTCCTTTCACATTGGTTGTTTTGCATATATATATATATATATTATATATATATATAATATATATATATATATATATATATATATATATATATATATATATATAAAATGTTGAGGTGGTTCGGACATGTAGAGAGAATGGAGCGAAACAGAATGACTTCAAGAGTGTATCAGTCTGTAGCGGAAGGAAGGCGCGGTAGGGGTCGGCCTAGGAAAGGTTGGATGGAGGGGGTAAAGGAGGTTTTGTGTGCGAGGGGCTTGGACTTCCAGCGGGCATGCGTGAGCGTGTTTGATAGTGAATGGAGACAAATGGTTTTTAATACTTGACGTGCTGTTGGAGTGTGAGCAAAGTAACATTTATGAAGGGATTCAGGGAAACCGGCAGGCCGGACTTGAGTCCTGGAGATGGGAAGTACAGTGCCTGCACTCTGAAGGAGGGGTGTTAATGTTGCAGTTTAAAAACTGTAGTGTAAAGCACCCTTCTGGCAAGACAGTGATGGAGTGAATGATGGTGAAAGTTTTTCTTTTTCGGGCCACCCTGCCTTGGTGGGAATCGGCCAGTGTGATAATAAATAAATAATATATATATATATATATATATATATATATATATATATATTATATATATATATATATATATATATATATTATATATATTGTCGTTAACTTACGTTCTCAGTCTTCGAACGGTTGAAAGAAAGAGTCGATCATCAGTGGGTTGAGGGTTGACTGGGAAGTTCGTCAAGTCACAAGTGATGTTCAATACAAAGGTGGAGTTTGAAGCCTGTATTGTGTTAATATTCGCATTAGTATTGGTATTCTTATTGTTACAATAATAATTTGTATTATTATTATTGTTATATTCACAAAAACACCTAACCCATCGGGGTCATGAAGTACCAGGGGATGAAGAAGTAATCAGATATAGGAAAGCTCCAGTTCCTTGAATCAAGAGAATACAGATCACAACGACTCCTGAATATGTTTATACTAATTATAATTATATGAAGCGCTAAACCCGTGAGTCATGGAACAGTAATAAAAGCACAATACCGTGACTGGCACGACACACAAACAACCCGCACATAGAAGAGAGGAGTTGACGACGATGTTTCGGTCCGACTTTGACCATTTACAAAGACACACTAACGAAAAGGAAAGCAAGCAAGCAAGCAAGCAAGCAAGTGCAGGTAAGATCCCCATGGGATGAGCGGGGAAGACGGGACAGACGAAGAATAGCGCTGGAGAGGAGTGTTCTTAGTCGTAGAAATAGAGCCAGGGCTTGACCCAGCAGCTAAGGCGATCGTGGGACAGACTTGGAGAAAAAACGGGAAGAGAGCAAGCTGTTTATGCAACAGTCTCGTGGTAGGTGAGGTCTTTGAGTCTCGAGAGCTGGAAGTTTCCAGGTCGCAGGAGAGGGCAGGCAGGTAGGACCATCAGAGGGTAGCAGACATGTGGGAGGTTATTTTAGTAGTTGAGGAGGCAGGTTTGCAGTGGAGCCATTTGCAAACTTCTTGAAGCTGCTCCTGGACAGGTGGTATAGCGTTGTCTTGTTGGAAAAAGTGAAACGAAGAGGCTTAATGAACTCAAGAACTTGCGTGAGTGTGAAGTGAAGAGGTGATTCGCAGGCATACTTGACTGTTCTATCACCGAGGCCTTTGTAGAGTTCAGAGCAGGTCATGGTGTCAGCGTTCGAGGGAGAGGTGTAGAAAGTAAGGTTTTCCCAAGAGGGTGTGCTGGAGTCGTCGCTATCTGCTTCGTCGGGGGATTCATCAGGAAATTCTTGTTCAATTGTTTCTACAGTGATTGTGTCAAGAGGAGGCTGGGAGTCTAGAGTATTTGCGGTCTGGCTGGTTGTTGGTGGTTGTTGAGAGGTGGCAGTGGTCACTGGGCGTGGTTCAGGGGTGTTTTTTGGGGCAGAGTTAGGATTTGGGCCTGAAGTTGATGTGAAGTTAGCGATGTTTGGGATAATCTTGAGGAAGTCCTGTGATGTTGGCGAGTCAGGAAAGTTGAATGACGGCATGTTGTTAAGACGGAATAGTTCGTTAATTGTAGTGTTGAATGTGCCTGGGTTTGCTGCATTTGCAAGGTGTGCATACATCATGCAGTACAGCACCTTAGAGGGAGCAGCGTCAGGGAGTGCAGAAAGGGAATTGCTGGATAGAGATGACTGTTGTGTGACTTGTAGAATTCTGGTGGTGTCCGACTGGAGTTTTGAAATGGCGGTACATGTCGGCGATTTGGGACTATTCTTGGTTTCTTCTTTAATTTTTTTCGACATTACTTCTTTTCGTAGTGGGCATTTAGCTGCAAGGGTATGATGAGTACCCTTGCAGTTAAGACATGTTGGAGTGGCATTGGTGGTGGTGCAGGCTTTGAAGTTATGACCTTCTTTTCCACAGGTAGAACAGAACTTTTTGTCTTTAATGGGACAGTCCTTTGTTGAATGTTGATAAGAGTAACAGTTCCAACAGGGAGAGACATGGGCAAAACGTTCAGGTTCAATGTGGCGTGGATGTATGTGGTAATATGAGATAGCTAGTCCATTAGCGAGTGCTTGGGTAGCCATATCTTTGTTTGAAAAGGTGATTTTGATCATAGATGAGGCATTGGGAATTCGTGTGATGGTGTGTACAGAGGCCCAGGTGTTTTGGTCTTCGGTAGAGGTCTTCAGTTCATCCGTTGGTATGGATGTGATTATCTTATCCAATTGTTTAACAAAAACTGAACGTTTCGCCAGCAAGGAGGGAGACGGTGATATGATGAATTGTCGGTCCCGTAATGTGTTCATTGCAGTGTCGTCCATAAGTTTAGCTGCTTCATTGTCGTCGGTGCAGACGACAATGAAGGAATCCTTGAGTGAGTGGATCGCTGTGAATTTGAGATGCAGGCAGGTCCTCATAGCGGCAGCAAGTAATAGTTTAGTGGAATCATTTATAACACCACTGGCTGGTTTGATTTTAACACGATGTGCGAACATTGTCGAACAGGTAGAGGTTACCCTCCCCAACGGGAATCGTTTTATTACAAAACGAAAAGGAGAGAAGGAGGGGTATATATAGGCAGGTGGTGGAGGTAGAAGGTAGTAGTAGTGGTGGAAGTAGTGAGGAGGAGGAGCCAGCCAAGTACTAAGAAAGAGGAGCACTGCAAGGGAGCTAGGTGCCCACAGAGGGTAAGAGCAAGAACACAGAGGGGGAGGGGAATACATAAATAATGATGGAACAAATACACGAGGTAGAGGAAAGACAACCCATAGGAGAAAAAGGAAAGATGAAAGGGGGAGAGGGAGAAGGAGGAGGAGGAGGAATCAGGCTAAGTTACGGGTGTTCTGAATTATGGAGCATTTTATAATGTACTGGGAAAGGAAGGCATCTACAGAGACGAAGCCAGGACTAAGATTCATACAAGGAAAGTTGTGTATTAGGGAGGATTCAACCACATGGCGACTGTTGAAGTTGGAAGTAGGGAAGACAGTTTTAGCAGAAGACCAGTTAATAGGATGGCTGTGATCTCTGACGTGACAGAAAAGAGCATTGTTAGTGTCGGCAAGCCTAACACTACTTTTGTGCTCCCTAAGTCTGTCAGAAAGAGATCGGCCAGTTTCTCCAAAGTATTGAAGAGGACAGAAGGAACTAGAAATAGAGTAGACACCAGGAGCATCCGTAGAGGGAGGAGAGGTATGAACGAGATTAGTGCGAAGAGTGTTAGTCTGGCGGAAAGTAAGTTTGATGTCTAAGGGACGGAGAGAATTGTTGAGATTAAAAAGACCGGAAATGTAGGGAAGGCAGAGGACAGAAGAGTTCCCAGGATTAGAGAGTTTGAGAGAGAAAAAATTACGTTTAGCACGTGAGAAGGCAGAGTCTATGAAATGGGAAGGGTAGCCAAGACGAGAAAATGAATTATAAAGAGTGGAAATTTCTGATTGAAGGAACTGAGGGTCACAATTGCGGAGAGCACGGAGAAAGAGGGAGATAACACTTTTCTTAACAGAGGAAACATGATAAGAAAAGTAGTGAATGTACATGCCACTATGCCACTTTGTAAATGGTCCAAGTCGAACCGGAACGTGGTCGTAAACTCATCTCTTCTATGTGCGGGTTGTTTGCGAGTCATGGAACACAAGATTCGATCCACGAAGTAATGTGCGCATGGCAACCACTAAGAATGACAATGTCAACCAGAGATCGTTAAGAGTTGGCTCCCACCTTGAGTGTCCAGTCTATGAGCGAACGAGAGGGACGTGTGTCTGAGGATATACACACAGGTGTTCCTGGGAACACTAGTGTCTCCTTTCCTGGCATGGTAGCACATTTCTTGCAAAACCCTGTGATATATATACACAACGTTATATAAGTACTCAAAATATTGCTGGTGATGATGGTGTATGTCTGTTATGTTCACGTGATCAATACGTATGTCAGAAATTTAAACCAGTTTTCTGTAACGGTAAATGTGTCCTTATTGGATATAAAAAAATAAATAAGTACTTACCAGCAGGTAAGTTAGTGCTTGTCACTTGTAAGCTGCTACTTCCCAGGATGGCAGGATCCTTGGCGTTCACTGCAGCCTGTAAAATTGGGCACAAGTTGAACTCACAACATATGCTGGGAAACTAGTGGATGGACAACCATCCTAAGTGAGAGTTTGTTAGGTAAAGTTCATTGTTTTAATCTAGAAAAATGCTTTAACAATCTTTTCTTGGGTCATTTCTCCCATCTTCTGACATCTGTTTACTTAGCGAAATTGGGAGGCAGAAAAAATGTGATTATTTAAATAAGATATAATCAAGTATCTCTTTAAGAGAATTGTAATAGATGTACTACTACTGCTGCTGCGGCTGTTTCTGCTGCTGCTAGTATTACTACTACTACTACTACTAATCCAGTTATTACTATTATTGTTATTAACACACCTGCCGCCCCTCATCGAGGTAGAAGACCCGATAAAGAAGAAACAACTTCAATATCATTTATTCAAATTTCTGCTTTGCCACAAAAGAGCTGACATCATAGTTCAGATTATTCTTCAACATGCAACATTGCAACTCTTTCAGAGCAAAAGCATTGTATGTCCCATCTGCAGAAGTCAACTCCAGCTAACCGGTTTCTCATAATCCCTTTATAACTGTTTCCTTGTTCATATTCCGACAACCCATTAAATTATAAAAATTGCTCGCATCCACTCCCATCTAACAGGGACATACTAACCTGCTGCTTGTCGAAACCCTTCTCATTCTAAACTCTTTTTATCCCTCTCGTTTCACCCTATCAAAGGACGACGCCGACCACCTAGTCATCTTATTTTCATCCATTTTCTCTATATGCCCTAAGCACTTCTACCCTTCCTTAGTACTCTTAACAATGCTTCTCGTGACCTCCACACATTCTAATCTCCAAACTACGAACTTTCTACTTATTATTCGCACCACACACACCGGCCTCGCACACCGGCCTCACACACCGGCCTCACACACCGGCCTCACACACCGGCCTCACACACCGGCCTCACACACCGGCCTCACACACCGGCCTCACACACCGGCTTCACACACGGCATGTCCACTACCTCTAAGCTCCTCCTCACTACACTTGAAACTCATGCTTTACACCTATATAAGAGTGATTGTAGCACTCGACAGTACATTTCTCATTTTTTGCCTACATGTCTTAATGCACCACACATCTTTTAGTCGTCAGTTTTATGATTCACCTCATCATCCATGGATTAACACGCCGCCACGTTCACTTCTAAATATCTGAACACATTTACTTCATTCTCTTTCGATCTGATATCCAGTCTTTCATTAAGTAGATTTTTGTTGTTACTCTGAGTACAATACTGCTTTTTATGTTCACTTTTAATTTACATTTTTGACGAACTTTTCTAAATTAGTCTACCAACCTTTTCAACTTTTCACAATCTCAAGAAAGTATGGTGTCATCGGCAAACAGCAACTGTGACAACTCTCATTCCAAACCAGAATCCTCATCTTTCAATTCCATTTATGTTCCAAACACCCTACCACCTATTCAAAACATCTGCAACTTTTGCCACAATGCTTCCTTATCCATCCTGTCACATGCCTTTCCTAAATTCATAAATGCAACTAAAAGTTCCTTATCTTTCTCTAAGTATTTTTCACTTATGTGTTTCTGTGCAAACACTTGGGATAGCATCTCCGAACCTTCCTAAAACCTCCTTGTTCATCTGCATTACTACTCGGTCTTTCCTTTAATTCTTACAATAAAGAATACAATGCGCTTAACCTTATATATACTACAATTTTATTCCTTTAGAATTCATATACTCTCTATTATCCCATTTTAGCTCATACAACTAAGCTGTGCGTATTTTTTGCCAGTCACTAGGCATCTTACCCAATTTAATGCATTTATTGAACAAGTGATCAACCACTTGGCAACCAGATCCCCACCCGGTTTTAATATCTCAGTCCGAATTTCCTCTTTCCCAGTTGTTTTTTCTTACTGTTTAACGTATCCCCTGTTCTCTCACATCTTTTGCTTTACCAAATTACATCCCTCTTCATCAACATTTATCTTCTAATGATATTCCCTCTATCATCCCATTACCTACGTCTCTCCATCTATATTTATTATTACTGCTAGTATTGACGTATTTTCTGGTATTATCGTCATCTGATTTTTTTTCTAACTTGCATTCAGATATTTTACTTACCTCTTCTCCGGGTCTGTTTTCTCATTTTCTCTTCACCTTTTTATCTCACCTGGCTGCTGACATTCTACTCATCTTTACTTACCTTTCTTTTTTTCTCCTCGCCTTTTTACATGACTTGCCTTCAGACATACTTCTGACCTTTTCACCTAACCTGTCTGAAAACATTCATATCACCTCTTCACCTAACCTTTTCACATGATCTCTCTTCGTTTTTTTTTTTTTACCTGTCTCCCAGGAAGTACAGAAAAGTCTTCTAAAATTTCATATTCAAATTGTAGGTGCTTGTAAACAATAATTTTAATTTTCTCAGTTCTGTTGCTAATTCTGATAACTGTTTTATTCTCTTGATATGATTAATCTTCACAAGAGCATAAGAACATAAGAAAGGAGGAACACTGCAGCAGGCCTGTTGGCCCATACTAGGCAGGTCCTTCACAGATCAATCCCACCAATAGAATATTTGCCCTCATAAGAACATAAGATCATAAGAAATAAGGAACACTGGTCTATGCCAGACAGCCCCAATTCTCCCCACCGGCTTAAGCCAATGCCTTCACCTAGTGAGGTCAGACACGTAACTTATGGGATTAGCACTGCGTCCGATCTAGTAGCTAGTCAGGTCCATTTCGCACCACCCACACCCACTCATAAGAACATAAGAAAGAAGGAACACCGCAGCAGGCCCACCGACCCACGCGAAGCAGGTCGATGTCCCCCCCCCCCGGATTACCCCAATGACCCACCTAGTCAGGTCACTTCCACTTAAGGAAGGAGCACGGCACAAGACCTAGTAGCACAAGCTAGTCAGGTCAAACTCACACTAACCCATGTATTTATCCAACCTATTTTTAAAACTACACGTTTTAGCCTCTGTAACTGTACTGGGGAGTTTGTTCCACTCATCCACAACTCTATTACCAAACCAGTGCTTTCCTATATCCTTCCTGAATCTGAATTTTTCCAACTTGAAACCATTGTTACGAGTCCTGTCTTGGCTGGAAATTTTCAGCACGCTATTTATATCCCCTTTATTTATTCCTGTTTTCCATTTATACACCTCGATCATATCCCCCCCCCCCCTAATTCTACGCCTTTCGAGAGAGTGCAGATTCAGGGCCCTCAGTCTATCCTCATAGTGAAGATTTCTGATACATGGGATCGTTTTTGTCATCCTCCTCTGTACTTTTTCCAGTGCATTTATATCCATTCTGTTGTGTAAGAATGGTATATAATACCGACAAGATGAAATTTAAAGACATATGTGCAACATCTGGGTATCTTTTTTGTAGATTTTTCGCCACCAGTGGTTTTACTTAAAAATTTGGGACATAACTTGAAGACGTAGAACATGTACAGAAGATGAGGAATCGTCCCTAAACCTAGGGAGTGGTGCGAAGAGCACCTTTCCCATTCTGTAATACGGACCAAACTGTGCAGCTAATCTAAATGGGCCTAACCAAGGAAATGGTTTGCAAACAACCTGAGGACCTATTTTTTTACTTCTAGTATGAAACCGGATTTGTTAGCTTTATTGCACACAAAGTACTGTTGTCTTGGGTTTTAGATTACTGCTAACTAGAACCCCTAAATCTTTATTTTAAATTTTTAGTTTTATTGGCTGGTTTTTTCCTATCCAACTTTTTAGAATTTTGCTTTGTCAATATTAAACTATTTGCCCCTTCTCCGCCCATTGCATTGTCTTTAAAAAATTCCGGGGAGTCTCTAGTGTCCTCATTAAATAATTGGTGTCATCAGAATCGTCATGTCGCATTTATTCCCTCACTATGTCTTTATGAAAATTGTGAACAAGATGGGCCCTCAGCCCCCTGGGGAAAACCCCGCTTGTGACGTCCCCCCATTTTAATTTTCCCCCCCCATTTACACAAACTCTCTCTCCCTTTTTGTAAAACCCATGCCTCTTTGTATTTTAAATTTCTTTTTTCCCATCGCCGTCATACATTATTTTCTTTTACTTTCGAAATAGTATCTAACTTGCTCGAGGATCACATGAGAATGCAAAGAATGCTGTACACAGTTAAATTTTCCCTTTACCTCTGAATACCGATCCCCCGAGTTTTCCCCGTACAACACATGTGAGTAAATTTTTCCCCATGCCCCTTAATTTCCTAGCGATAACCTGAAGGTTTCTAATGCCCACCCTACGAGACTGCAGTATTTCAAGTACCCTCATCTCTTTTCTCTACAACCCTCTGAGTACAACTCACTGCGCCTGACAGGGATGAATTTCCCTTCAATACTGCGGCGTCCACGGGGTACCGAGGGACCCAGCAGTGCCACCAGACAAGCAATTAGTATAAGTACATCGCAGTGGTGTTGTTTGTACTGCACTAGTGTCAACTCTGCGCCGCTACCCCGGGATGTTTCCACCCTGGGCACCGCGGCACTGTATATGGGCCAAGTTCTGAGCCGAAAAATTTTATTTACGTTTGCCTTTAAAACCTCGATAAAACTGACGGGTTTCACCAATTGCCGATTCCTCCCTTTTCTATATTAATATGTATCTTTGCTGTACAAAATATAGTTACGATCACCCCTTAACGTAAAGCACCGATCTATCGAAGAAACATCACGCTGTAATTTTTAAAGACTGAATCACTAAAAAAAATTTTAAAGACATTCAGGAAATTTTAGATGAAAAAGTACATAAATATTCGTAAATATTGGAACCCTCGGAAAGTAATTATAAAATTTTTGTGTAATTGGGGGAACATTTCAGTATTACATATCGTCAACAAAAATTAAGATATGTTTCAGTGCGTTTTCGACAAAAAAAAAATCAAAACGAGCTAGAAAATGCAAGAAGGCAAAAGAAAGATCGGGAAAAAAGGTTAATAATAATAATAATAATAA